AACTTCAGCCTATCCCCAGGAGCAATACGGGTCCAAAAGTTCAGTCACTTGTACATGCAGCTTACCAATTCGTTTCTACGTTCGTTCACTGAGCAGCGTGATGTCGGAGCCCATATCAAGTTGCAAACGAACTGGGATGATCTTGATACGGACTGTCACAAACTTTCTTCGGCTAGCTAAATCAATTTTCAAACATCGCCATCACCGAGTAGGGCCGCGATTTGTGTGCTCACGGCGGTGTGCTGGTGGCTGTGGCGTCTGAGGTGGACATAACTCTTTGTGGTCAAGAAGACTGCACCTGGAACATTTATCACGTCTGAACCGGGCACATCGAGCGAAATGCCACTCACCGAGGGCAAGATGGCTCGGCGGTTAGCGCGCGAATTTACTGACCGGGAGCTCCTTGGTTCGAACCCGACCTCCGCATCTCGACGTCTCCCGTCTATGCTGGGACGACCCGGCAGAATCCCAGCCCTCATGCTCCCTTCGGGTGGCATGGCGGCTTGTTACGAATAGAATATCGATTCTGATTGAGCGCGAGAACAAGAATGAATGGCGTAGAATGAATAGCCCTTTACTTGTCTAAGAATAGACGTACATAAGCTGAAAATGAAGGCGAAAGCATGGATAATACAAAACGATAATGTGGGCACAAAGAATATTCATGACACAGCTAGGCATCGAAAAGGTGGTACGGCCTAACGCCTCACCGCAATACCAGCAACGTGTAGGAGGCTTGCTCTGTTTTCGACCGAGCTTGTTTTCGGATTTCTTTGGGACGTGGTAGCTCGCGTGGACAGAGCTGCTGGAAGTAGCAGGTGACTGGCCGTGTCGTGCTTCAGGTTGATGGGACGTTGGCATTCGCCATTGGGGTTCTGTAGCGCCATTTCAGCATCTTATTGATTCTGTGAAGCAGCCGGGTTCTGATGTCAGCATCTCGGGACGACGAGCCCGGATGCAAAAACGCTGCACTTAAACTGATTCACCGTCATTGAGCTGGATATGAAGCGCTCGCATTCCCGATTGACAACACCGGTAAACGTGGTGATGTAGAAAGAAAAAAAGCGTTCAGCTGTAGCACCCTTTCGGTGCCTAGCTGCCATGCCACCCGAAGAAAGCACGAGGGCTGGGATACTGCCAGGTTGCCCAAGCCTAGACAGGGGAAGTCGAGTGGCGGAGGTCGGATTCGAACCACGGACCTTCCGGTTAGTAAATTCGCGCTCTAACCACTTGGGCCATCTCGCCCCCTGGTGGTGATGCAATCTTGGCCAGCTTGAGGCATTGGTAACGGATATTGAACGATGGTGTTCGGTTGAATACCTAGCATAATGTTCTGAACGTGTCGTCAAAACTGAGATCGCGGGGCAGTTTGAAGAGAATAAAGTTTGTACGCCGTTCGTGCCCCGGTGTGCCGAGTTTCGCAGCATTAGTCTGACTTCCATCCTCAATCGAACTTGGATAAACCAGCTTTGAACATGTCTTCATACCGCTTTAACGGGGGGCCAAAGGTATGGGTCGAATAGGAACTCGGTGATTGAGGCTGCGGCTGCATCAGGTGGTGAAACAGAAAACCCACTGATGCTAGCTGTTGGTTTCTGGATATGCATCTTAGAGTAAGTGATTCACTGAGGTTCAGTTACGCTTCTTTAAACTGCCTTTTTGTTGTTGTGCTAATTCTCTGAGCTGATTAAACTTGCTAGACCTCGTGGCTTCCCGTCCACAAATTTTAATAACGGTATGACTGCACAAAACGAGGTCAACACATGTACAACTCATGCGGCGACAGTATTCTGAAAATCCCGACGCTTCCTAGATGAACCAGTAACAACCGTCGTCCGACAGATACTGGATCGGGGGCGAGATGGTTCAGTGATTAGAGGCCGGATTTACTGACCGGAAGGTCAATCGTCCGAACCCGGCCTCTGTATCTTTTTGCTCGGCTATCTAGACTTGGGCAGCGTGGCAGTATCTCAGCTCTCGTGCTTTCTTCGAGTGACATGACATTTATGCACCGAAAGTGTCACAGGTGAACGAGAGGCAGATACTGAATAATGATTGGCAATTGGGTCCAGACTAGACAGGGAAGTCGAGAAGCAGAGGTCGGCTTCGAACCACGGATCTTCCGATCAGTAAATTCGCGCTCTAACCACTTGGGCCATCTCACCCCCATATATGGTTGCTTCCCTAAGGTCTTCCTGGATGATTTCTTGGGGACATTCTCAACTTAATTGAATCCAACAACAGATGTGTTCTAGTTTAGCAACTCCAGTGCTGCCTCATGGCTTGCTGTTGCGCACTATAACATGGGGCGAATCAACC